ACGGCGACACTTCGTGCAAAGGCGTCGATGATGACGTGTTCTCTGACGACGAGATCATTCATGCTGTTCTTGGGTGCAGCATCACAAGCCAGAGTCACGGTGACGACGATGACAGCCTATCGCAAGCACGGCCCGCATGCCACGTGGTCGAAAGCAGCCACACCACCGCTGAGGAGGAGCAGTTGCCTGGGCGCAATCTAGAGCAAGTGACAGGCGGTATGAAACGCACCGAGGACCAAGATGGCGAGCAGGACCAAGATGGCGCGCAGGACGAAGATGGCGCGCAGGACGGACAACAGCTCGCGAAGAACCCAGCTTCTTCCAACAACTACGCGCGGGAGGAAGACGGCGACGGCCACGATGCTGATGATGATGATGATGATGATGATGATGATGATGGTGATGATGATGATGACGCAGACTCCATTTATGACATGCATCTTCTGGACCGCAGCACTGAGACGGAGGCCGACAGGGCAGACTATGCTCACGCCTTCTACTGCAGAAGCAGCCACGATTCCGTCATCGACGATGACGAGAGTGACGGCGCTGAAGATGACGATGCGCTGTATGGCTACCACAGCACATATCAAGGGGACCTGCCGAAGATGACAGGTGACTCTGCTTCAGAACTGAGCACGCAGCATGACCCCGGGTCGCCCCAGCTTCCACCCCGCCGGTACGATGTGAAGAAGATGCGCGCCACCACAATGCGGCACCGTCGCAAGCCGTCCGCCACGTGGGAGGTGATTCGCTGGCCTTTCGTCAAGCTGAGGCAGTCGTTCTCGCGGCACCGCGCCGACAGCGATGCGTCGACCTCCGGCGTGTCCGATCTCAGCTTCATCAGCACAGACGGCGACGTGCACGCGGAAACACGCGCCCCCAAGATGCGTCGACGCACCATGCCGGCCTTGGTCGCCCCACTGTACACCATTATCAACAAGTCCTCGTCGTCGCCTGTGTCTGGTCGCCGAAACTCCGAGATTGACGCAAAGATGCATGCGGGACGCCCCAAGCCGCACCCGCACAGGTCACCGCTTTGTCACGACAACACGCGTGCGGTTCTCGTGGACGACAGCAGCGACGATGATGATGACGAGAGCGACAAGCAATGTGCCACGAGCTGTGACAACGATGGCTACACTGTGGTCAACCCATGACTGCAGTGTGTGTGTGTGTGTGTGTGTGTGTCTGCGTGTCTGCGTGTGTGTTGATGGATGTGGGGATGGCGTTGTATCGGCGCGTGTGGTTTCACATACGTGTCTGGTGTCATCGTTTGTTATTGTTGCTTTCATGTTCCTTCTCTGCATGCGTGCGCAGTGGTGTTGGGTCTTGCACTGCTGTGCCCCTTTCTTGTCTTTCTTACTATGTTTGGTTTGGTTGCCTCAACGAATGAACGATGGAGTGAAGACCGAAATGGGTGAACGAGGCGAAGGGGAGGATGGGTGTGTGTGTATGTGTGTCGTGAATGGGCGATTGAGGGCAGGAGAAAGGATGCTTGTTGCGAGTGTCCCCCCCCCCTTTTGGCTCCTTGGTACATTGCATTCTTTGGGTTGTGCGTTGAGGCCCTTGCCTTCCTGCTGTGTCGAGAAAAATGTATGATGATATGGCAACATTTCTACAACCGTGGTGCTGTTGATGCTGATGACGATGATGATGAGACAGGTGAGCAGCGTGCGTGCACCGCTGATGTTGCGGTGGACGAGGCGGCAGTCGCAGCTGAGCAAGGCCATGATCAGCAACGCTTGCAGTCGCAGCAGTAGTGGCAGTGGTTGTGGTTGGAGCAGTAGCAGCCTGAGTGGCTGCAGCGGTCATGGTTTTGCAGGGCGTTGGAGTGCTGCGGGTGGACTGCACGGCAGCGGCATGAGCGGCACGCGGCAGCAGAAACGGGCGGCTGCGTCGTCGTCGGCGGCATCGCGCTGGGCAGTCACGATGACGGGCGCCGGACTGGCTGTTACTGCGAGTGCTTTCCGCCGTCAGACACGCGCTTGCATGCTGGGCATGCGCTGGCTCGGTGCAGTCGTGTCCATGAACGTGGCCAGCCCGTCCAAGACACCAGCATCAACACGAGCCCTGTCAACATCAGCGTCATCAGCGTCAGGGAGAGGCGATGGTGGTAGTGATGGCGTAGCAAATGGAGGAGAAGTGACAGGAGCATCGTCGGCCAAGATGAGCGACAGCCGACAACACACCGAAAGAGGAGAGGAGCCCACATTCGCCAAGGGCGCGGCTGCCAGCGGCATTGCGCGTGCGTTAGAGGCTCACACGAGCTTGCACTTTGATGTGCATGGCGATGACATCCATGTGGAAACGGAGCCGGCTGCGTTCTACACTCGCCTGGTGCAGTCCATCAAGACGGCAGAGCGCCGCGTTGTTCTCACCTCCCTCTATCTTGGCACAGGCCAACACGAGCGCGATTTGGTGGGTGGTTTTGTGTGTGTGTGTGTGCGTGTGTGTGTGCATGTGTGTATGCATGTGTGCATGTGTGAGTGCGTGTGCATGTGTGTGTGTGTGTGCGTGTGTGCATGTGTGTATGCATGTGTGCATGTGTGAGTGAGTGTGTGGTTGACGGGATGGTGAGCATTAGCAAGGTAGGGAGAGTGGCGACCTAGCCACTGCGGAGAGTGTGGAGTATTGATGAGGATGGACAGTACATGGGGCTCGCCACATACACACCGACGCTAACTTAGAACATGTCTTATCTTTGCAGGTATCAGCTCTGACGCAGCGAATGGAGGACAATACCTCCCTTGAGGTGAGCTTGCAGATAGCGTGAAGATGGTGATGGTGATTGGCTGACGCGGATGTGATTGTGTGTGTTGACCATAATCACGTGTAAGCTGTCTCTGTGTCACGCACACACACACACACACACACACACACACACACACATACACACACACACACATACACGCACACACACACACACACACACACTCATACTGGGCGCGTTCCCGTGTTTGCAGACGACGGTGGTGTTGGATTACACACGCGGCACACGCGGATCGCCGAATTCCGTGCGCACTCGTTCGCTCCAAAGTGGAATCCCTCCTCTGTTCTGCAAACACATGTGCGGACAATTCATCCGGTCCGCGCCCAACAGACACGCGCGTGTATCCGCTCGTACAGGTGGGGGAGGGCGTGTCACCTGGCACGACGCCTTGTTGCGTGGCGTGTAATGTGCTGTGTTGTGCTGCGTGTTGCACACAACGGGTTTTGTGTATGTTTGTGTGTGTGTGTGTGTGTGTGTGTGTGTGTGTGTGTGTGTGTGTGTGTGTGTGTGTGTGTGTGTGTGTGCGCGTGTGTGTGTGCGTGTGTGTGCTGTTGTCGTTTGGTGCTCAAGTTTTGAATTCACACACACATACACACACACATACACACACATACACACGTACACACCCCACTGTTCTGTTGACAGATGGGCCCGTTTGGAGTTCGACAGGAGGAGGAGTGCATGACAGGTGAAGCAACGAAGTGAAGCAGAGTGTGCTCCGTGCATGTGTGTGTGCATGTGTGCAGCAACTGTTGTTGGCGTCATGGCATGCCTTGGCCACCACGTGCGCCACTCAACAATCGTGACAGACAACACGGCGATGACCCAACCCAACACACGTCACGACATCAACCAGCTCAACAAAGTGCACCACCTCAACCACCATCACCACCACCACCTTGTCATGATCATCAGCGCTGCTGCGATCGCTGTCGTCGTCGTCACACGTGGATATGGCGACAGGCTACTTCAACCTCTCCCCAGCAAACACGGCCGCACTCCTCTCATCTCAGGTGTGTGTTGTGTTGTGTTGTGTTGTGCTGTGCCGTGTTGTTGTGTTGTGTTGTGTGTTGTGTTGTGTTGTGTGTGTGTGCGTGCACACTCTGTATCCTTGACGTCTTGTCTCCATTTCAACCACTCACAACCATCTCTCCACCATCACCATCCCATCACCAGTCGTCGTGTCGGGTCATCTGCGCGTCGCCTCGCGCCAACGGGTTCCTCGGTGCTCGCGGTCCTCGTGGGCACATCCCGGCCGCATACACACACATGCTGCGCTCGTTCCTGCAATCGCTGCAGCCGCACGCCCGCGTGGAGGCGATGGAGTACGAGCGTGAGGGCTGGACATTCCACGCTAAAGGTGTTGCTTTGTGTTTAGATGTGTGTGTGTGTGTGCGTGTGTGTGTGTTCATGAATCGAAACACAAGTTTGTTCGCATGATCCAGGTTGACACGTCATGCATCCCCAACTACATTACCCATCTCGCTTCGCCAGCACCTCAACTCACCACCTCCTCATCCCACCCTCCATTGCAACGCCTGCCACTGCCAGGCATGTGGGTCCGTGATTCCACCAGCGCCGCGCCGAGCGTGACGATTGTCGGCTCGTCCAACTTTGGCCAGCGCTCGTCTGACCGCGATTTGGAGGCACAGGCCGTCATTGTGACGTCAAACCCGTGCTTGCAGGCAGAACTGGACAAGGTGCGGGAGACAATGGTGTGCTGTCAGCCACTGTACTTGACAGTCGTGTGTGTGTGAGTGAGTGAGTGAGTGAGTGAGTGAGTGAGTGAGTGAGTGAGTGAGTGAGTGAGTGAGTGAGTGAGTGAGTGAGTGAGTGAGTGAGTGAGTGTATGTGTGTGTGGGGGGGGGGTTGTCTATTGCATGTCTTGGGTGAAACATGGGTTTGCTTGCCAGCCTCTATCTAACTCTCACATCCTGGCCATCACAACCACCGCAACCACCACCACCATCACCATCACCATCACCATCAAACACCACCACTGACAAACACCATCACCACATGATCGCCGCCATCAGGAGGTTACATCCCTTGTGTCGCGGTCGTCGCGCGTGTGCGCTTCTGATCTCGAATCTCCATCCCGCCGCCCGAACCTGTTCCAGACCATTGGCGCCGAAGTCATTCGCTCATTCCTCTGATGACAGACGACGTGTGTGTGTGTGTGTGTGTGTGTGTGTGTGTGTGTGTGTGTGTGTGTGTGTGTGTGTGT